TTCACAGGCCTCTTTCTAATAGTTCCCAGGTCTTCTATGGACCATAGATCAAAAACTGCCTTGGGTTTAGGTTATTCAGTAGAGAGATTCATTACTGGCTAATGCACTTTTCCTTTCTGGTTCACCTGCATTAGCTCAATGCCACAATGTTTAGGCTTCAAACTCTGTAAGGGAATGTCTAATCAAAATAATAATAATTGATTCTCGAAAGAGGTTTTAAACCCTACATTTTTGGCTTCAACAAATTACCCGTATTACAAACATACATCTGTATTACAGAGCGGCACAAGGAGACCCTTGACTCAGCTCAGCACTTCAGAACACACTTAAAATATGCTCAACTTCAGCTTCTAAGTGCTTTTCTCACTTGGGACCAAAGGGTATGATCCTGGCCATGGCTGAACCAAAGAGAATTTTGCTACGTGCTTGAATCGGAGAAAGGTTGACCCTATAGGCTATATGTTTATTGCTAAACTTTACAGTTGTGCCTGTCAAATTGAAATTGAAGGCTTCATACTTCTGTTTGTCAAAGTTTCACAAATTCTGCTAATTTAGGATTTTTTTTTTGATTACCAAACAGTGGTCAGCTTAATAGCTGGTTCACCTGAGAACACATAGGCTTCCACTGCAAGTGACGAAGATGAAGCAAAACTTTCAATAGGGCCTGTGATTTAGTATCCTGAAATCTACGACTCAAGAGTCAGGTTCCTAGATGCTTTGTCCTGGGCCACTGTTAGTTCTGAAGGTTTTGTTCATGGACAATTTGTGTGTCTGAGTTGACTGTTATTACCAGTATTACCAGTTAATTACTGGTTCCTGCTGTGAGGTATTTCACCACACCCAGCTAAGCTCTGAAAACATTCAGTCATTGCTAAAACTTGTGATTGACAGTGGTCTGCACCTTTGAAGACTGTGGCCAGAATTCAGTTTATGAAACAGTTACATTAATTCATATCTGAAAAGAAACTCTATTGATGTATTTTCAATTTGTTTTTAAGAAATTCATTATTGAATTCTGTTAGGTTTTCTTCGTGGAGAATTATTAAGGTGTAGCTAATGCTTTGAAAACATTTGTGCTGGACAAAGTAGGAGTGTTCTCCCTGACAGCATGTTTTACTGGGAGGTTGATCTCTGATTCATTTTTTGGCTAGGAAATGCAATCAAGCTCTCGTTAAGCTGACAAAAAAAAACCCCTTTCATTGATTCAGTCGAAGTAAACTCAGGTCTTCAGTGGAGTGTCTTCAGGCTTGAAGCAGTTCAGAGTGAGTTTGTCGGCTCTGCAGTAGAACAGGCTGCATCAGCCTTAGCTGACCTTGGCTCTAGTGCTATTTTCACCTCATGAATGCCATAATGCTCCTGGAAAGCCAAGAATAGACATCAAAGACAGGAAGTTAATAGTCTTGGTCATAAATTTCTTTGGCAATTCAGTCCACCTTTTCCGGAGCTCAAGACAGTTCCACATCCTTCACTGCCCTCCTCTGTAATTCAGAGTGTAGCCATGTAGCAGTTCTGATTCTTTCACTAAAGCAGTTGAGGTTATTTTTCCTCATTTTCTCTGAGGATAGAACAAACAGTCTTTAATACCCCATTTTTTCATGGTCTTTTGTCTAGATTCAGAAGTACTTTGAAAAGAGACATTTTCCATCATTTACTCAGAAATGCTCCTCCTTTACTGAGAGTTGTTGGCTTTTATGTAATTTCAGGCATGAAATTTCAGGCTGCTCAGCTGCCAGCACACCTCACGTTGGCCCATGGCCACGCGAGCCACTATTGGAAATCTAGACCCAGAATTGTCTATTGGGTTTTCTTTATCCTAATTGTTGTTGCTACAAAGTGATGTCAAATCTAGTAACCACCTTCTTCAAAACAGGGCATATGGGAACAGAAATACAAGTTTCTAATGGTACTTTGCCTTTTCTGTTGGTTGGCAGCATGCACTAATAACTTGACTCACAACGGTGAGTGATGAAGGGACAAATTTAAGCAAGTGCATGTTTTGTA